AAGTTTGGGATTTACAATTGTACTACACAATTGTAATAATGAAGATGAACATTATTAACATGAATTATAACAAAATAGCAGAGCATTCATAACTCTGATCCATGGGTACTACATGTCATCAGACACCATCACATAATTTTGTTACACCACAAAATACGAATTCACCCTCAACATAAATTATACCAACCTAACCTCGAAACACAAATTACATCAACGAAACCTCAAAACGAACACAAACATAAGGAATTAATGTGAAGCACCATGTAGACCCTTCAACCATTTCAATATCATCCACAAATTCCTGAGCATCTCAATTTTGCATCAATACTTTTCCATGGCCTTGAACAATTTGTAATTCATATCTAGTCTCCTCAAAGTCCAAAATTACACTACTTAAGTCGGTGGGCACGTTTTCAACATAAGATCGCCAAAAATTAACCGGAATAGGCTGCAATATCGGGTAGTTATAATTACGTATGCACTTAAAAATGAATATAAAACATAAATTCAACGGAGATTAACACACAATTACCAAGCGCGCACGTTCCGCATGGGTTTTTGTTATCTGCAGCGTATAACGGTGTCGAAGCTCTCGTTCAGCTTGATTATCCGTGAGGACTGTGACTACGAAATCCGTTAAGGATCAGCAGTCGAACCACAGACAATTGTTGGTCATAATGTCCTCTACACGCACAAAGTCTAGCCAACCTTCATAAAAAACCACTCGAGAAAGATTACCTCTCATTGTCACGTTATACCTCCGACCCTCTCTGGTGGTAAGGGTGCACTGGACAGGTATAAGGTGGATATATTGATGATTCAGAGCGTCCGGAAGCTTATGCGTTGCACGTAACAAACAACCAATTGACGATTTATGTGATATTACTCCCAGAATTTGTCCACAAAATTAAAGATCAACACGATGATTCGTATTACGCAAACATGCCAATGTTCGTTTCTCTGGATTCACAATATACTTGAAAAACCTCTCAAAGTGCTCGGACGCATTGTCTTACGTGTTATCTATGATGATAGTGTGAAATGGTTAAAAAATGATGTTCGACTTCAGAGCAGAGCAAATAAGGTAAAATAGGAACTTGGACACAAAAGGCAATGACAAAGGACTACACACATACAATATGGGGGGCGAAATGTATGACGAAAAATAGGAACTACGGTATACAATTCTGTCAACAAGAATAACAAACACAATTGAACGGGGACACCCTAATTAGCGACGACAATAATGTAGTCCCAAAGAAAATCGATTAAAATATATACCAATAATACCAAAAAATCAATTGTTGTTTTTGCAGTCTCCTCAATCTAGGGTTAACCCACAACAACCCAAAATTGGAATCGTTGGTTACGAAGAACACATCAAATAAAAACATATAAGTGGCAATTGGTCGGGCGTACCTCTGACGACAACGAATCCATCTTGTTCTTAGCTTTCACAGCGGTTGTACGGAGGGCGGAGTGGAGAGGGTTTGTGGAAGGAGAAGCAATTGGAATTGGCTGTGGGGAATGGAATATGTGTTGGCCACCGCCCGAGTTTGTTCTTCCCAACAAACTTTTTTTCCCTTCAATTTTCCACCACCATGGTCGGTCAAACCTCGATTCCACCACCTTCTTTTCCACTTTTCTTTTTTGGTTTGGCCAAATGTTGTTCATACTGGTATTCCCAGTCCTTGTAACTTGCCAATTGAACTTTGTTTACTCGTAAACCCAAAACCAAAAAAAAAAATAAAAAAAATACAATATTTGTAAATGAGTGGCATGTAGTCAAATTTGTAGGTTAATTTATAAAATTGAGTTGTCATGACAATAAAAAGGCCATACTTTGGAAAAACTGATTACATTATATAGACTAGTTATTTTATTGTTGATTTTACAGTACACAACAAATAATCAATAAATTTAAAACAACAAGTACAAACATGTATTATTTTTTTACAATAAAAATCACACTTATTTTTACAAACGAATATTATGTGCACAGTACTTTGTGCCTCCATGAAAATCCTATGAACGAAATGTTCATTATTAATTTTCTAATAAAGAGGGGTGCTTGTTTCGGTTGGAAATTTTTTTGTAACTTGTCATATGTGTGGGCCCGCCACTAAATAAATGTATTTAGAATGAAATGGGTGAGAGTCTTTGGACGTAATGAAAAAAACATTTACCCCAAACACCCAATTCCATGTCCTTAAAAAATCACAAGCCATCCTTCCCATCTTCCCGCAGCGGCCCTAACCGACAGTTGTAGGTGAACTTGACCCTAACCAAAGCCGACGAATCTAAACCCGAAGACTGAGATCCGTCGACCCGAATAGCCGGACGACCACCGCGAGATGCCGGAGCTCCGCCGTGACCGGCCACCCCGCGCGACACGACCGACAGCCACCCGATCGCACGCGACCGACGTCCTGACTATCCACGCACCACACAACCGATTGATCTCACCATCCGTTCGTGTGATGTTTCCAATCATCCCGAATATGTCAAATTCAGAAAATTTCAAGCCGTATGTTTTCTACGTCAAACTTTTAGGTCCGCCTCGCATAGGATTATGTTTGCTATTGAATTCATGACTTGTACATAACGAAATCTTCATAGATCTCAACACCTGGATGAGTTTTTCACTTCGTTTTGAAACTGTTTAAATTGGGATTTGTGTTAAACCATTAGATCATCCTTGAATACACTCAAGACAATCTGGGGATGGATTTGAAGGCTTTTGAACTCCAAAAAACATTTTGTAAATAGTTTTATCTTAGATTTTTCTCAAATTTATTTTGTCTTGTGCTCAGATTGTTTCAACTAGATCAGTTAGGAACAAAAGTTTGTGATTTATATTGTTATTGTAAGTTTTCATTGATCTATTCTTACTGTTAATTGAATATGAGTTCGCAATTTCTCTTGACGTGGAATTCATTCCGAGCATGAGTTAATTCATCTACCTAGACATAGGATATTCATTTTTTGTCTAGAATTTGTGTTGAATGTGTGATAGCTCATGCATTTTTGAATTGCTTGGTTATGTTGATTTGTTATTTGATCATCATTTAGTCTAAATAGATAACCAAAAAAGGGAAAGGAAATAGGCTATCCGAGCATGGTTCGAATAAGGTATATGTTTTCGTAAATGTACTGACTATTGGCCCATTTAAAGAATACTCGTTTGTCTATGTCGGAATATATATTACGAGAGGTATTAGGGGTAAACCTCTAGACTTTATGTTCTTGTTTATTCATTTATGTTCAATCTCTTGTTATATTGAGAGTGAACTAATAGGCGTTTAGGTGAGAGCTTCAGTCTTTAGACCGAACTATTATTTGTTCAATCATGATTTTAGGACTTGACGAGACCTTCTATTTCTCTATTCATTTAATTATTATTTAATTTCTTTTATAACCCTTATTAGGCGTTAGATAATCAATCCCAACCATCTCTAATTAAAATTTTATTTTCTTTTCGTGTGTAATCGAAACCGACTATAAATTTCGTACTAACTTTTCGAGAGATCGATTTGAGATCGGAATTCATTCTGTACTTGGTAAAATTATAATGTGTTGTAAGATATTTCCATTAACTTTTTATCACTCAGCATCTATATATCTATATATATATATATATAAAAAGAATTATCATTTACTAAAAATAGTAGCAAAAATTTAGGAAACATTTAATGCATGCTATTTTTGGAAATTTTTTATATATGCATTAATTGCTTTTATTTACACGTTCTCCAATAAGATCAAATAATTACTTAAATAAATTATTATTATCTGCAGTATTTTCATTTATATTTATTATAATAAATTACAATATTTATTTTCGTGATTCATGTTGATAATATTTTGGTCAAGACTAATATTATTTTATTAATATTTGTAATACTTTCATTGATATTCATTATAATGGATTACAAGAGTGATTTATGTGATCCATGTTGATAATATTTTGGTCAAGATAATATTACA